GAGATAAGGGATGCTAGCAATAAAGGAGGCTGCCTGGGAGGGGGGAGGTAAAAACAGTGAACTTGCAAGAAGAGGAGACAGGAAGACTAAAGCAATGAGGAGAGAAATTAGAAGAAAAGGAGGAGCAAAAAACTGCTCCAGCTAAGGAAAAGACACTAAGGCAAACAAGAGGGAAAGCAGTGTTGAAAGGAAGCAGCTGATCAGTAAGGGATTGGGAGGGAGATAAGGGACGCTAGCGATAAAGGAGGCTGACTGGGAGGGGGGAGGTAAAAGCCCATGGATCCTCAGGATTTTTGCATTGGGCCACCCCAAATTCACCATCAGACCACATAGCATGTCCATGGCTACAGCCTGCACCAAAAAAAGCACGCATCCACTGTTTCCTGGGGCTGCAATGGTGCACAAATGTGGTTACAAAGCACGGATCCACATGGATCCTCAGGATTTTTGCATTGGGCTACCCCAAACTCACTATCAAATCACATGTCTGTGGCCACAGCATGAACCACAAAAATTGTACATCCACTGTTTCGTTCAGAATATTTTTTTTCTTGATTTCCTCCTCTAAAAACTATTTGCGTCTTATGGTCAGGTGCATCTTATGGGGCAAAAAATATGGTGGTTGCTGCAGCTATTAACAAACTGAATTATTTGAGTTGTTGTTTTGCTGCATTTTAAGGCCTGTGTTACTTCATGGATGCTTTTTATCTTCCTCGATTCATTTGTAAACTCCCCTCTTGGTTGTGCAAATGGCGGGACAGCAATAATCAGGATAAATATGTACAGAGCTTTGTGCTTGCCCCTGCTTTCTCCCCCCCCCCCACTCACTCCACCAATTCAAACACAGACAACACAATTCTGTAGCAGAAGAAGGCCCTTTTTTATTATCCCTGAATTGCGTTTTACAATACTGCAGGTAGTTTCATCTGGGGGAGATTTCTTTCTCTTCCCCGTGATCTGTCCAGTTCAAAATCTGGCAGGAGAAAACAAGACTCTATCATGCAGAGAAAATTATTGCTGTCTTATCTTATTTACAGTATAAACACTGACAAGGATCTGGGTTGACCTTGATCGTTCCCAGTGCAAAAAGCAACAGGCGAGAAACCAGGAACCTTCCTTTACAGAAAGAAGCTTTCTGCTGCTTGTTGCTCATGTCAGAGGGAGGTGGTTTTTATTTTTTTGCAACGAAATGATATCTATGACGAAATAATGTAAGCATCACATGGATGCTGCTTTGAATGTGCATGTGCAAGCACAGGAATATGGTGGTGCTGAAACCATGTGCAGAATTCCAAAAGTGTCGTCATGGCACCTAAGAAGACGTTAGCAATATCTTGAGCCTCAGCATGTTTTTGAATTGTGCTATTTGTGCCATGTGGGGGAAATTGCAAATGATTATTGTATACAGCCTTTTCCAACTCTGTGGTGGGAACAGCTAAGACTTGCCCAAGCCCTAAGAGGAGGGAAAATGCCTGTATCGAGGTCCCTGTAACCCGTACTGTAGGGATACGGGTAGCGTTGTGGGCTAAACCGCAGAGCCTAGGGCTTGCCGATCAGAAGGTTGGCGGTTCGAATCCCCGCGACAGGGTGAGCTCCCGTTCTTCAGTCCCAGCTCCTGCCAACTTAGCAGTTCGAAAGCACGTCAAAGTGCAAGTAGATAAATAGGTACTGCTCTGGTGGGAAGGTAAACGGCGTTTCCGTGCGCTGCTCTGGTTTGCCAGAAGCGGCTTAGTCATGCTGGCCACGTGACCCAGAAGCTGTACGCCGGCTCCCTCGGCCAATAAAGCGAGATGAGCGCCACAACCCCAGAGTGGGCCATGACTGGACCTAATGGTCAGGGGTCCCTTTACCTTTACCTTTAACCCATACTGTATGGCCAGCCTGCACCAAATATTCCCTCCCAGTGTGTGTGAGTTGCTGCGGTGGCGAAAACCTTGTGTGTTGCTGTTGTTGGAAGTGGGGAAAGAAACCTGGGGGAAAGCGAGAACGATGGTGGGGCAGAGATGGGGAGAGGCAGCTCTGTGGGGCAGAGAGAGGAGAACAAACCATGTTTCAAATGAGCACATCAAGTTGGAATTGTAGCAAAACTGCTTTTCCACCATTCACACATTCCTGCTCCTACGGAATGGTCATTTCCAAACTTGGTAGCCGAGGCACACTTTCCCCCTGAATTAAAATTGGAAGCACGTGTTATTTTTTTACATACACACACACCCTCAAAAGGGCTTGCTTTTTCTGAGCATGTAACAAACAGGGTTCCTTTTCCCTCAGAGGGGCGATGCTCCCCTTCCCATATAAAGTCACAGGTCTGAGAGCAGCTCCGGTGCTCTTGGGGCAGAGACTCATGCAGAGAAAAGAGGCAACCTGGATTCTTTGAGCTCAGAGGAGCCTTTGATTATTAGCTACCCACCCCGTTAACCCTCTTGTGATGCATTAATGTGTTTTGGCTCCCCAGCGGAAGTTACAACTCCAGGAGAATGTATGGGACTTGTGGCTTGTGGAAGAAGGGTGCATTCCAAAGGTGGAGGGGGGGTGCGTTGATGAGTTGTGGCATTTGGCGCACCTGTTCTAACAACAAACAGTTTTCTTGGACAACCGAAAAGACCTTTGCCGAGTTGTGTCCGTTGTCCTGCGAGATGGCTCATTGGGTCAGAGGTAGAAAATCGGAGGAGTCACAAAAAGTGGATGAGTCTCTTGTCACATTCATTGTTGGGGCCCTTTCCCGTCCCCAGGGGCTTATATGTCCACATCTGGAAGACACTGATGTTGTTTATGTACTGTTGTCCGAAGCGCCAAAAAGTTTTAAGCACATGCAAAATGGCAGAGGCTGGAGAGGTAACGTTCACCTGGAGAGTTTGCATAGAAGCGGCTGTTGCTTCCCATCACCCGGAACTGCAGCCCACGGAGGAGCCGACGTTTCTCATCAGTGAGGAAGACGTGACGGAACAGCTTTGCCTTCGAACAGGTCTTGCACAGCCCAAAATACAGTCTGTTCCGAAGGGGGCAATGGCACTGAAAAATTATCTTCTGAAACATTCCACTTCCCGCATGGCTTTTACTCGTTCGGCTGAGTGTAGAGTCCTGTGCCCCCCTACCTTTTTTCAATTTAAAAAAATCCATCACTTTATCAGCAAAATATAAATGTCATTTAATGAGGAGTTGCCCCCTCCTGGTTCTTAACTCTTGTTTTAGGCTGGAAATGATGGCTAGGAAGAGAACGGATGGTTGTTTGAGAAAGACTGGTTCCCAGAGCACGCCCGCATTTATTTTGTCCTGCTTTTTGTTCGAGAAAACTGGTGCCAGATATTGGCTACGAGGCAGAGCTGCCAATCAGGAAGTCTCCGTCTGAAATATTGCCTCTGTGGCGAGCTGCCTAGGTGAGTTTTGGCTGCCTCCAGACTGTCACTATTTTGCAGGAAGAGTTTGAGCGCATACCGGAAATTTCGGGTTTGCGCAGTTAAAGTGGATTAAAGCGCTCTTGCTACAAATGCGCTTTAAAAGCAAACAGTTTGCACTTAGGGAAGTAATGGCAAAATGCTGTGAAAAGTATGGTATGAGTTAACGCATGGAGATGTAAATATTCCCACAAGCAGATCGGGATGAATACAGGATGAATGCTCATTGTCATATAGCCTCACCACAAACAATTCAGATTGCTCTGTAGAGACCGGGTACAATCTACCTTTCCCCATAAGCTTTGTGCAAGCAATTCAGGACATGTGTTCAATATACAGGTCATCTGAGGAATCCTGTATTTTCTCTCGGTCTCCCCCCATCCCATCCCAGGGGCAGCATCTGACTAACCTTAGGCAAAGACCCACAGCGCAACGAAATAGGGTATGTTTTGCATGTGAATATTCAAAGTCCAGTTCCCATCATTCAACAACCATCACTAACACAGGTCAAAGTAAATTGGTGATTCCTCCTTGCAAATGGATCCTAGCTCTTTGAAAACAGCTGCTGCCGCTACAGAGCTCTAATATGCCTCCAGCTTCTGTGACAATGGTGTACCTGCAAGCAGCTTCTGCCATCGACGTCCTGCTTGCTAGGATTCATGCAAAGAGACCCCCAATGTTTCACCCACCCATTCTTCTTAAACAATAAATAGTATAAATAGGATAAATTAGAACTTTAAAATAGAGAGCTCCTAAATTTATGGCAGCAGCTGCCATTCTTGCTAACTCGCACGTCTGAAAGGACAAACTCCTCAATCAAAGGGAAATGGATGCACTATATGTCTGCTACGAGAGTGGCATAAAGCCCCCCCCCATTACATCCCATACCTCTGATAGGCTTGCAAAGGCAAGAAGGCGGGAGCTGAGCAGAGAGGCCTCCTGATTGGCTGAAAGGCAAATGGTTCTGCCACAATCCATTGACACTTCTCAAAGGAAGAATATGGGCATCTAATACGGGCGCCTCTGTAGCAGCAAGAAATTCCACACCCGTCATTGACAAATGTGGAATGACAACAGAAACAGGGCTTCTTGGCTACAGTGGTGTAGCTAGCTGCTCTGGTGCCCGGGGCGGTGCGCGCACCCTGCAGCCGGGGGCGGAGCAAGCCGCCCATGGGGACGGGGCGAGCCAAGGCAGGGCGCACTGCGTGGAGCCTCTCTGCAGCCTCCCCCTCAGCTGTAGGGCGGCTGAGGCGGTGGGAAGACGCAAGCCCCACGCTGCTCAAAAAAGCAGCACGGAGCTTGCAGGCAGTCTACCCGTCACCTTCCCCTCAGGAGAGACGCATGGCTCAGGCACGCTGCAGGCCCTGCTGTGTGGCGCCCAGTGCCCCCCTCCTCACCTAGCTACGCCTCTGAATTAGGCAGTTTCTTGGAGGAGAGGGCTGTTGGAGGCTACTAGCCATAAGGCTGTGCTCTGTCTGCAAAGTTGGAGGCAGCAATGCTTCTGGTTTCTGGAAATCACTTGAGGGGAGAGTGGTCCTGCAGTGGCGTAGCAAGGGGCGTGCGGTGGGTGCGGGAGTTATTTTTTTCAAAAACACATATTTTTGCCATTTTGTCACCCTCAGTGATGACACCCAGGGCAGCCCGTACCCACCGCACCGCCTTCCTACGCCACTGCCTGGCTATGCCGCTGCCTGGAAACGATGTTTGGATTTAGCTATGCAGTCAGTCTGTTTCTTGCCCTTGTCCCTTCCAGCCTTCAATGAAGAATGCTTCTCTTGCGATGACAGGAGGATGGAGAGGTTATGGTTGGGGTTCTTGCGTTGGGTTCTTCTCGGGAACATGTGGTTCCTCAGAAGCTCTTGAGGGCATCCCACAATGTGGAGATGGGTGAATGAGGGCCATCTTTGGTGAAGTTCCCTCTCAAAGGCATCACTGTTAGCAACCACTAGGTGGAGATGTCAAGTAACCGGGAACGAGAAGACCTATAACCTCTGTGCAAACAAATTGGGATGGGTGCTCAACAAACAGGCTGTCTGGCGGAGATCCTAATTCTGACAACCATATGGAAAGAAAGAAATGACTGGTTCTCTCCCCCCACCCACGCATTGTGCCTTCCTGGGTTCTTCAAACATAAAAAAAGGTTCCCGTTTAACTATGCCAAACATAACAAATCAATCTCTTCCTCGCTTCCAAAGCTTGATTTGAGAAGTCGCTCTGTCTAAGCGTCCCACACCCAGCCTTGTCAGCTTCGTGGGTACCCTTCCTCACAATGCCCCCCTGAGTCGGGTTTCACAGCTTCTGCACTCGTTCTGTCCCCAAAAGATCTCAAAGGGCAACACTGATAGCTTTTCTACCTCCCCATCAAGGGGAGAAGAAGGAGCAGCACACTAAATAAATAACGTAATAAATAATATAAATACACCCGGCATTTCCCAAGTTATCTGAAAGAGAGAGAGAGAGAGAGAGAGAGAGAGAGAGAGAGAGAGAGAGAAATGGAAAGAGAGACGACTGTCTCTTTCTTTCCCTCTCTCCATCCCAGTAATCCTGAAGAAAAGTCAAAAGCTTGTCTCACTCGTGCGAGACCAAGCAAGGAGTCTCCCAGAAGACGGCCTTCTGCTGGCGTTGACTGGAGTTATTGCTTCGGTTGATGATTTGGAGAAGGAAGGAGAAAAAGGCAGGTCAGGAGGACTAGGGGTGGAGAACGTTCTGCGGACCACAGCTCCCACCGCTGCTGAACATGTGGTTGATGGGAGCGGCGGTCCAACAATATCTGAAGAACATCCCATGGACCACTCCTGGGTTTGAAGGTTGCTGGGCCTTGGGACCAATGCTTGCCATCTTCCCAAAGTCTCCATCACCTTCTGAGAAGGACAGGTTGCAGTCACCAGGTTCTTAAGTGCTTCCTCCCAGTAACAGAACGACTTGCAATTTGTTGCGGTGGTCCCTTTTGCCTCCCAGGGCGCTGCTTGTCCTTTCTTGTCCAAACCCCAGATCCCTGAAGACGGTTGCCGTGGTCCTGCCCCTGGACCTTCTCTCCTTCCCCTGTCCGGCTCAGTTCTCCTCCTCGCAGGCGTGCTCAGCCCCCTTGAAGCAGGCCGACTCGTAGTGCTTGTTGAGGTACGACTTGAGGGCGAAGGTCTTCTCACATTGCTTGCACTTGTAGTGCTTGAAGGCCGAGTGCGTCTGCATGTGAGCTCTCAGGTTGGAGCGGTCGGCGAAGGCCTTTCCGCAGTGGGAGCAGCCGAAGGGCTTCTCGCCCGTGTGGGAACGCATGTGTCCCTGCAGGAGCCACGGCCGGCTGAAAGCCTTGCCGCACACGTCGCACTTGTGTTTGAGGTTGTGCGTCAGGATGTGCATGGCCAAGGCGGGCATGGAGACGTAGGCCTTGGAACAGGTGGGGCACTTCCTCGCCATCTTGCTGTCCAGGCTGCGGTGCGTCTGTTTGTGCCGGCTGAGGTTGGAAGATGTGGCGTAGCTCTTGCCGCACTCGCTGCACGAGTGGCGGTGCGCCCCCCGCCGCTGGCCCTCTCCCCGGCGCCGCGACCGCCCGTCGGTGATGAAGAAGGCGTCCATCGAGTAGCTCTCGGTGACGGCGGCTTCGCCGTTGAAGTAGTGCGCCGACAAACTGGATTGGGGGCTCTCGGGGTCGCTGTAGTCTTCGTGCGACGGCGTGTAGATTGGGTCTGAGGACGCCAAGTGGAGCTTCTTCTTCTCATTCTTGTAGCCGGATGACGCGAGGCAGGTCTGGAGATAGCCTACGGAGGACAGAAAGGGTTCAGTTAATCAGGGAATCCTAGAGTTCAAAGGGACCCCCAAATGCTATCTAGGCCAACCCCCTGCAGTGCAGGAATCTCAACTAAATCATCCATGACAGAGGGCCATCCAATTTATTTGTACCCTGCCCATCTGGATGGGTTTCCCCAGCCCCACTGGGCGGCTTCCAACAAAGATTAAAAATACGTTAAAATGTCACACATTAAAAACTTCCCTGAACAGGGCTGCCTTCAGATGTCTTCTAAATTCGTGCCGGAGGTCCGTTCTTAACCTGAAACTGTTCTTAACCTGAAGCACCACTTTAGCTAATGGGGCCTCCTGCTCCTGCCGCGCCGCTGGATCATGATTTCTGTTCTCATCCTGAAGCAAAGTTCTTAACCTGAAGCACTATTTCTGGCTTAGTGAAGTCTGTAACCTGAAGCGTATGTAACCCGAGGTACCACTGTAAAGGGACCCCTGACTGTTAGGTCCAGTCCTGACCAACTCGGGGGTTGCGGTGCTCATCTCGCTTTATTGGCCGAGGGAGCCAGCGTACAGCTTCCAGGTCATGTGGCCAGCATGACTAAGCCACTTCTGGCGAACCAGAGCAGCACACGGAAACGCCATTTACCTTCCCGCCGGATCTACTTGCACTTTGACCTGCTTTCGAACTGCTAGGTTGGCAGGAGCAGGGACCAAACAACGGGAGCTCACCCCGTCATGGGAATTCGAACCGCCGACCTTCTGATCGGCAAGTCCTAGGCTCTGTGGTTTAACCCACAGCGCCACCCGCATCCCGGATTCTGAGGCGCTGCACCCCAAATATGCATACAACTAAAATCTGATAGCTATACAGTAAGAAAACAAATAATTGCAAAGGAATAAAGGAACAAAATCTGAGAAATGTCTCACTGAACAAAGTGCCACATAATTCATTCATGAATCTTTTGATGTCTGCACAGAGCTCCATCTATTTTGATCAGGGCTAATAATAATAATAATAATAATAATAATAATAATAATAATATGCTGCCCATCTGGCTGCGTCAGAGAGTCCTATCGCCTTCCATCTGATGATCCTTATTAAGCTAGATTGTCTCAGCATTGAACCTGGGAACCTGTGCATGCAAAACATGTGTTTTTGCCACTGAGTTATGCTTTGGTGTTGGAACTAGGAAACAGAGCATAGGAGAGTGGACAGACATTTGCATAGCCGTGTTTGCAGAATGTCAACTCCTCAAGAAGGAGAGGCCGGTGTGTTCCCTTCCCACACTGGATGAAGGGAAAACCAAGTCTTCCTCTTGACTCCCTTTTCCAGGAAAGCCTTTGATGGCAGCCAGTGCTGTCAGCGAACAGGGAGTGCAACTCAGAAGGAGCTCAGCAAACAAAGGAGCATCGGGCGCACGGTTCCACAGTGAGAGGCTACTACGAACGCGCTTGTGTTCCCCCCCCTTCCCTGGGGAAATAAAAGGAGCTGAAGTGGAAAGGAGTCGACCTCTTTCTCAGGCCGTTCCTTCTGTCTTGTCCAATTTCCTCTTGATTGACGGAGGGAAAGGCAGAGGCGAGCCGGGTCATCTCATTACCTCCCCTCATCTGCCTCACACGAAAATAAAAAAAGGAATTAAATTTTGTCAGCTGCCAAATAGCCTAGAAGTTAGTTAAACGGGAAATGGGTCACAGTCACACTGAGCGGAAAGGCGCTTTGTGCATTTTGTTGATGGGGTGCAATCCTATCCCCAGGATCAAACTCTAGGGAAACTGGGTGCGTGCACAGCACTAATTGGCGTTGGCCTGTGGCGTCACCAACCCACCTTCCCAAGGTTTTTTTTTCAACTGAAAAAGAGTGAAAATTTAAAAGGCTAATATCTTGCCAGAAGCTTTGGTGGAGGTGGAAGCTGGGTGACTCTCTAAGCGTTCGGTTTGCTAATACTGTAAGTCTGTCACTGAGGAGGCTGACTCAAGACGGACAAAAGAGTTTATTCACATAGTGTATAGCCAAAAAATAAAATTAACTCCCACAACATGCAGTGATGGCCAACAAGGTGGAGGGCATAACAAAAGTTAGTAGGGCATAACAAAAGTTACTAACAATAAAGTTAGTAAGGGCTGTTAGCCACAATGGCTAAGTTGTACCTCCACTGCTTAAACATATATGCCTCTGGCTACCAGTTCCTGAAAACCGCAGAAGGGGAGAGGGCTGCGCTTGTGAATCCTGCTTGTGAATTTCTCATTTGGGGTATCTGGTTGGCTATTGTGAGAACAGGATTCTGGATTAGATGAGCCCTTGACGTGATACCTGAAGGAGCATCTCCACCCCCATCGTTCTGCCCGGACACTGAGGTCCAGCGCCAAGGGCCTTCTGGCTGTTTCCTCACTGCGAGAAGTGAGGTTACAGGGAACCAGGCAGAGGGCCTTCTTGGTGGTGGTGCCCTCCCTGTGGAACACCCTCCCATCAGATGTGAAAGAGATATACAAGTATCTGATTTTTAGAAGACATCTGAAGGCAGCCCTGTTTAGGGAAGCTTTTAATATCTGTTGTTTTATCGCTTTATTATCATAATCACCAATTGAGAACAGTCTAGCATGGCTGGGGAAACCCAGCCAGATGGGTGGGGTATAAATAATAAATTATGAATATGATTATGATTTAGCAACCAGGCTCTTCTTATGAGACAGGGAAAACCCAATGGATTTGCTCCAAAGGTGGTCGGTGGATACACAACCAATTCATTTTGGAAAGGAAAGACACCCCTCTGCTCCCTGCAATACTGATTGTGACTGTTTCCCTCAACTCACTGCGGTCGCTTGCAATTTAAACTGGAAGCCCAGAAATATATGAACAGTTTACTACCACTTCTCCTGAAATATGTAAAAATCAAATCAAATGATGCCTAAATTCCCCCACTCCTCCATTTCTAACTGCTGCCTGTTCTGACCTATATGGTGGCGCTGTGGTCTAAACCACAGCCTCTTGGGCTTGCCGATCGGAAGGTCAGTGGTTCGAATCTGCACAATGGAGTGAGCTCCTGTTCCTCTGTCCCAGCTTCTGCCAACTTAGCAGTTTGAAAGCACGCCAGTGCAAGTAGATAAATAGGTGCCACTGTGGCGGGAAGGTAAACGGCGTTCCCGTGTGCTCTGGTTTCCGTCACAGTCCTCCGTGTGCCAGTAGCAGTTTAGTCATGCTGGCCACATGACCCGGAAAGCTGTCTGTGGACAAACGCCAGCTCCCTTGGCCTGAAAGCGAGATGAGCGCTGCAACCTGATAGTCGCCTTTGACTGGACTTAACCGTCCTGGGTCCTTTACCTTTTTACCTTAATATGGGTTGTCAAAAGTGAAAGAATAAAACCTAAAACTTCCGACAAAGTTGTGGGCCACACAAAGTGGGCCACTTTGACAGGTGGATGGGGCTGGACACCTGTCAGTCACCTGGCATTCGCCACGACACCAGGTGATGCAGCTTCAAAAAAAAGTAATGGGATTAAGTACCATCTATACATCATTTTCATAATATTTTCTTTTAATACAGTACATGTAGTAAATTTAACCCCTTTCTTCCACAGCCTTTCCCAATCTTCCCACATTATATTGTGTCCAACATCTCTTGCCCAATCAATCATCACAGATTTAACTTGTTCGTCCTTTGTATGCCATTCTAACAACAAATTATACATTTTGGAGAGATTTTTAACATTAGTGTCTAATAATTCCGTTTCCAATTTGGATTTTTCTGTTGCAAAACCATTTTTCTTATCAAGTTTATACAATTCGTTAATCTGATAATATTGTAACCATCCATCCAATTTATCTGATTCCTTCCTGAGCTCTGATTCCTTCCTTCCTTCCTTTGGAAGGTCCCCCCTTTGAATTCAAGTCGGGGATGCAAAGGAGGAGTCAAGCGAATGTTCTGAGTACTCTCCTAATTGTTCGTCCTTTTAACTATGGCTTGAAGTTCCAAGCTTCACCTTGAATATTCCCATATATGACACCAGGGCCAGGAGAAGAGGAAGTAAGTTTATCCTGCAAGGCCAATGTCCGAGGATGGGGGGTCCCCACCCCCGTTGTAAATGATAAGAGGGTAGTTATCCCTGAAGTGTGGATGGCAGCGACCCACAAGGAAGCCCTGTGACTTTGTTTCCAAAAGAAAAAGCGATTAGGGAGAAACGCTCTGGAATTCCAGGCTTGTGCAAACAGAAGCTTGATATTTTAGAAAACCACAACCCTGGAGTAACAGCTTTGGCTGGAGTAACAACTATCTGTGTTCACAATCTGAGAGACTGTATGTATGCATGTGTGTGCATGCGGGGGTCCTCACAGTCTGTTCTTCACTGAACTTCTGCACCAGTAGGTGGCCCCCTCGGGCAGGAGAAAGCTGCCAAGAAAGAGGAGGGCATGCTTGCAGAAAGAAGGTTGTGTCATTTCTCTGAGATGGGCTAAGTGCATCTCGTTTCTAATGCCCATGCATATAAATGCACACATGCACAAATATTTCTGCACCGTGAAGTGCTCAGATTGCTTCTGATCCTGGAAATAGCACATAGCCATTGTTACTAGTAGCCACTGGTAGCCTTGTCCTTCATGAGTTTGCTTAATCACCTTTCAGTCACCTAATTTGGCCACCATCACTACATCTCAGTGGTCTAAACCACTGAGCCTCTTGGGCTTGCCAATCAGAAGGTCGGCGGTTCGAATCCCCATGACGGAGTGAGCTCCCTGCTCTGTCCCAGATCCCATCCCAGCTCTTAGCAGGCAACACAAATATTTAATGCAGGGATGGAGGGAGGGTGATCTGCAAGAGACAGCAATTGATCTGGATTGGAACTGGACTCAGAGTCATAACTATCAGCTGTTGCAGAAGCTTTTTTTGGAGAACAGGCTCCCACCAGTTAACTTAGAATCAGAAAGGGAAAGGGACCCCTGACCATTAGGTTCAGTTGTGGCCGACTCTGGGGTTGTGGCGCTCATCTCGCTTTACTGGCTGAAGGAGCCGACAAACAGCTTCCG